CTTGTGGGTATTAAAAAAAGCAGGAGAAGGGAAGAAAAAGAGATAAAATTGGGAAGAAAGGAAGAAGAGATAACGAAAGAAGGAAAGAGAGAAAAAAGGTATTGAAAGAAAAACAATAATAAAAATTAAAAAAATAAAAGATTACTTAAAACAAAAGAAAACAAAAACCTCTTGATGGTTTCAAACTGGCCAAACCAGTTTTTCTGGTCTTGCTGGCTGTAGCAGGCTAAGGGGTGATTGGTGTGGCCTTTCTCTCTTCCTGATGTGCACTCAGCCAGTCTGTGCTCACTCTCCCTACAGCTAGTCTGGTGCCTCTCTTTGGCACCTCGGGTGTGGGATCCAGGTCTTAGAGGCTCTTTCCCCCGGGGTTACTGCTGTGGTCTGGGGTTTGGGGGTGTTTGCATTCACCTGCACGTGGGCACTCAGCCATGCTTCCTCGGTCCCTTCCCAGTACTGTGGGGTGTATAGGCCTTCTGTGCAACTTCGGGATTGCTGCCTGGGTGGCTGGTGAGTAGGCTGAGTGGCTGTTGTAGGTGAATTCCTCAAACAGTTTTAGTTTTTGAGAAATTCCTCCTACGTAAGCCTGCAGCTCCATACAGCCCTATTCTCCAGCTAGCCCGGTGACTATCCAAGGTCAGTGCCTGTTACTACATGACTCAACTCTCCCAAGCTGGTGACCACAGACACTGCGGGTGATCATGGCCCCTGTGTTTTTGCCTCTTTGTCCTTATTCCCCTCTATTCAACTTAAAGCAACTAGGTCTCTCCCTGTGCTGCTTAAACCTTATTTGGCTGTGGGGGAGGGAGCAGTTTACGTGGATCTCTCCCAAGGAGTCTGTAGTAGACCTGAGGCTGGGTCTGGGGCTTCAGCTGCCCTGGTCCCCTAGCTGGTCCCTGGGACTTTATTGTCTTGAAGCACTCTCCTTACCATCTGGTTTTTCAGTGTCTGGTACAATTTTTGGTCTCTTATCTTCATATGTGCTGGGGTACTGTTGGCTGTTTGCTCTGTTCCTCCATAGATCAGCTAGGTTTTTCTCCCATGTATAGTGGGAAGTGGAATCTGCTCCCTTCTACTCCGTCGCCATCTTTCTTCCTGTTAGTTTGTTCTTAATTTCGGTGTCTTGTATTATATTTTGCTTGCTTGTCTGTTTTGTTGATTAGATTCCAGTTAAAGGTGAGATCATATGGTATTTATCATTTGCCACGTAGCCTATTTCACTTAGCATAATGTTCTCCATTTCCATTCATGCTGTTGCAAAGGGTAGGAACTCCTTCTTTCCTTCTGCTGTGTAGAATTCAGTTGTGTAAATGTACCATAGTTTTTTGACCCATTCAATAATGCCTTTGTAAGGTAATAATTTCTCTCCTTTTCATTGAAGTTATCGACTTTTAGATATTTATTTAGACTTACGACATCTTCGATTTACTTCATCCCTTATTGTTTTCCTTTTCACATTCAAGTTCAGGTTTCATTTGGAACATGTTTTGTGTATGATGTGAGGAAGGAGTCAAGGTTCCTTCCATTTAGTTATCCAATTGATAAACACCATTTATGGGGAAACTATCATTTCTCCCACTGCACCAAAGTGAAATTTTGCCACAAATTAGTGTACTTCACTGTTTGTGTGTGTTTCTAGATGATGTTCCATTTCATTGGCATGTTCATCTGCCATTTATCCAATTCCACTCCATTTTACTTGCTGTAGCTTTATATTATTGTTGATAGTGTAGGTTCTCCAATTTTGTTTTTGTGGTTCATTTCCAAGAATGTTATAACTATTCTCAGCCTTTTGTGTCAAATTGTTCAGTTTGCACAGAAATATGCTTGGGTGGTGATTGCTGTTTCATTGGATCTGTAGATATATTGTGCAAAATTAACATATTCAATAATATTGAATTTTCCATTTGATATCTCTCCATTTATACATGTTTCCTCTACTCTCAGAAATATTTTAAATTATCTTTTTAGAGGTCATGCACATTTTTCACTGTATTTATTCCTTTATGTTCAATTTTTTGTGGGGGAGATAAATTCTAGAATTTTTAATCAATAAAATACTATAATGCAATAGAAAATAATTACAGGTAGTCCTATTATCATGGATAAATCCTTTTTAAAAGTATAAAACTCACCAAAACTCCCTTTTCTTATTGTTTGCAGCTAGAATATAAAATATAATTAATTCCTATGTTAAACTTGTATCTAGAAAACTTGATAAATTTATTTAATTCCAATAATTTATAAATTCCTTTGAATTACCTGTATATCCAATCATGCCCCTCTGTTAAAATATCACTTCTACTTCTTCTAAGGAAAGAAAATATTTAGGACCTCAGTACAAAGTTGAATAGATGTGTTAGCAGACCCTTTTCCTTATTCCCATTCTCAGAGATAAGTCTTTAAGTTTTTCATAATTATGGTAATTGCTGTAAGTTTCTAGTAAAATCCTGCTTTTAGCCATCTTGCCTATGATTTTTCTTTTTTTATTAATGTTAGTGCAGTTCCGGAAACACTATCACTTTTTTTTTGGCAGACTGAGAGAACGTGGCATACAATCAACTAGACTGCTTCAAAGCAGGAAGGTTTTGAATATATTTGTATTCTGTTATTTGCGACAGCGATGATTGACTGTGATAAAATTAATTTATTGCTTCAGTGGCTTATTAGAGACTGGTCTACTGGACCAGTCCTGTTCTTCTTTGGTAGCAATTTTTTAAGTATAAGTAATTATACTTGAGGAATAAGAGATTATTTTTTAACAGGTTTTTAATCTGTATATATTTGTTAAAATATGTAAAGTTTTTTTCTGGGGAAAGTGCTAACAGTTTAATTTATCTTAAGAATATTGGACAACTGTACTTGAACAACTAAGAAAGGAATATTGGGAATAATCAGTATTTGCTTATTTAATTCATTTCCTATGAAAAAGAAAAATGAGTAATTGTGTGTATTAAGGGGTCTTTTTAAACCCACAAAGGAGAATGTGTTTAATACTATTTCCAGCATACCATAGCAACATATATACATAAAACTACATTCTACAGTCTCTTGCTATTGTTACAGGAATTGCTATATTCAATCTAGATTTTTCAGGAAAGACATAGTTAAGATAAACGTAGACTTTTTAAGCCCAATCTCATAAAACTAAAATGTACTATGAAAAAAAGTAAATTTAATACTTTATCAATAGTTCATAAAACTCATGAAGCTAATTATTTCTAGAGGTAGAAAAGAATGAAAGTATACATAATTAAATTGTTTAGGTAACATATGAATGACAGAATCAATATACTATTAAGAGAAACTAGAAATTTATAATACATTCTAACTTTTGAAAAATTAAGAAAAGCAGCCATGCCACCTAACAAGTCAGTTCATTAGGTCTGGTGAATAATGGCAATTTTATGCTTGTATCTGGATATATCTCCCCTTTTTATGCACACAAAATACTTAAGAGCCAGTACTTTTCTTGCCCTTTTTTTTTTCTTTAGTGAAGTGATTCTGAAGCAAAATCACGTCAAGAGTTTGTTAAAACATAGATGGTTGTTTGCCAGAGCTAAATTTTAATTCAGTAAGTCTAGAGTGGAGCCTGAGATTTTGCCTTTATATCAAGTTCTCAGGTGATGCAAATCCTCTGGTTTCTGGACCACTTGAGAACCATGGTTCTGTGAAACTTTTAAAAATATTGTTTTCAGTAGTTACTTCATCTCTCAGTATCTATTTTAGGATCTCAGACACTCATCTCTTTAAAGTCTGCCAAAAACATTACAATATTGACACTGATATTGCTGAGCAAGAGAGTTTGGGAATTACAGAGGCTGGAGACCAGTAATCATTTTATAACTCTCATTTTCTACATGAATCTCAAACCCCCTTTTAGCCCAATAAACTACAAGTAAAATGGAGTGAAGTTTTGGACTATAAATACATCCTTTAGGATAATGAGAAAGGACAGAGTAGGATTTAGGAGCTGAAAGAATCCCAATGAACCAACAAGAATGCTCATGTTCTTAGCTTCTAGGATAATATAATCACTTAATATTTAATTATTCAACAACTATTCAACAAATAATTTTAAGTACCTACAATTAGGTAGATAAGATGCTATCCACTAAGAATAAGCTAGTGAACAAAATAAAAATACTCCATGCCAAATGCAACTGATAGTCTACCTACAGAAACCAACATTGAACTAATAAGTTCACAAATTGCTAATGTTTTTATCTTAAACCCTGTAACCCTTTTCTGCTTAGCAGGTAAGGTCACATGCAGTCTGTGTACTACATAATCATACTCCCAAGGGGGTGAGCAGCAGCTAACATTCAGTCCTAGTTCCTAGTGGCACAGAACTGCAATCCCCTAGGAAACAGCACCTTTTTCTTTGAACAAAGAGTTGAAAACTAACCAAGCCTTCAACTGTAGGGTTATGTCTGCTCACAGATATGCATTTTCTGCTTTGTTCTTGAAATTGTGCCTTTAACAGTCATTTCTCAGATGAATATCTTTTTCTAGACTGGCATGTTGCTACCTATATAGCCATCCATCCACAAATCTCACTATCCACAATATACAGTAAACTTACTATACTATGAAGTTCAACTGAGGGTGAGGGTGATAGAAATATTTATTTTTATTAAAAATATTTAGGCATCTTCAGTAAGCATATCTTTATTGAAATATCATAGAGGTAAATGTCACAAAATACTAGCAAGGAAGTAACCAGCTCTGTCTGTAAATCTGGGTTTCACCTGGGTCTTACAGCCTATTGTGCATGCTCTTCCTGTTTGATTCTGCATACCTAGAACCCCACTATATCCTTCAAAGAAGTTGTTTTCCCTCCAAACAGTGTTCTGTTGGGGCCATATCAAAATACACATATAAAGACATAAATTAATGACCCTTCTAAGTAGTTATCATGAAATTCGCTTCTAAGGTAAAAATTCTTGATTCACTTGGACTAAGAAATTACATGCCAATAGTTTTTTATTCCTTTTCTTTAGGACTTCCTACCAGAACTCCTGAGGCAGCACCAGGCTTTTATAGGAATGAAATACCAGCTGTGAGACAGAGGAATCAAGTACATCACTTGCCAGGTGAAAGTGAAAATCTGTTTTATAAACAAACAAGTTACTCATACCTCCACAACTTTCGAGACTTCACAATTTGTATCAAAAGCTTTATTTTTATTTGTTGTGCTGAAAACACAGGTCCCTCATAATGAATGAAGACAAATTTTCCTAAAGCAATGGTTAAAACCAGACACGCTGACTTCATTAGAAGGAAAGCAGAAATTCCTAAGGGTTTTGTGAACAATTTTGAAATGTTCCATAGAATTTTGATAGTGTTATTTTCCTGCTCTGTGCCTGAATTATTTTATCAGGCTGGTAAGAAAATATGGAGAGACCAACAGACAATTCAGGGAAAACTTAAGAGCCAAAAAGTAAAGTGGTTTTGTAAAAATTCTCCATAATTCTCCCTAATACAATTAAATATTTTCTGTGATCAGAAACAACTGTAACGATCATGGAAACTCCATAAAGAATGGCCTCAAAGGAGCAGTGTTCTCTCAAAAATAGTGAGCAGAAAGTATTAACGTCTTATAATCTAAATTTTATGCAGTCATTGAATATTTGATGAAGCTCATAGGGACCAAATCATAATCAAACACAAGTTATACAGCTTCCTTAGATTAGGAAACCGTTACAAAATGGTTATGACCCGATCTGCAACTTTAAAAAACTTGAATTATTGCCCTGGCTGGTGTGGCTCTCAGTTGGTTGGGCATCATTATACAAGGCAAAAGGTTGCCAGTTCAATTCCTGGTTAGGGCACATACCTGGGTTGTGGGTTCAGTCTCTAAGTTGGGCTGCATATGAAAGGCAACCCATCAATGTTTCTCTCTCACATCAGTATTTCTCTTTCTTCTGCTCTCTAGAAATAAATAAATAAAGTCTTTAAAAAACATGAATTAGAAATGGTCTAGACCCCAAATAAATTCAGCAACCAAGAAACCTAAAGATAATTGCAACCAACACTTTTCCAGACAGTAGTTCTTTTTCTTATGTACTACAACAACTCCATCATATGCCTTTCTCTGTCAAGAATTCCCACTTAGTTACATATGGTTGTAAAGCCTATGACTTTTTCCTGATTTTTGTTAATAAAATGAAAAACATGAGTTATAAAGAATAATCAAAATTAAAATTGTATGAAAATCCAAGCAGTGAAAACATGAGAAGCTGCTGAGTCATGAGCAGACAATATTTTAACTAGGAAATTCAAAAGAAGTTAAGAAATATACTTTTCATTAAACATCAGAAACACAGCTTAAGTTCCATTTAAGTTCCAGGAAAAACTGAATTTGAAAATAATTTTTGGTTTTTAAAGTTCATAAAAATGAACAAATTGTTACCACCTTTTGAATTTATTAAGCCTTGTTTGCTAAATATGGTAATCAACATTAGTATAGCACTTTAAAACAAACATGTATATTATTTAATCCTACAGCAACCCTGTGTCATTGGTATTATTCTCAGGAGAAATTATGGACAAGAAAAAAATTCTGTAATTTGTCCAAGGTTACCCTACTAGTAAATGCCTCCATAATTATTTAACAATTGTTCATATGATACCAATAGAAAGTCACCAATTCATTAACATTTAGATAGGAATAATACATATTTTAAGGTAGTAATAAAAGTAGAGTCAAAACATTAAACATTTTTATGCTGGAGAAAGTTCTAATAAAGATAGCGCTTAGCCTGGCTATATCTTAGCCACTTCCAAAGAATTTGAGAAGGGAAAATGGCAACAAACTTACAGTCATGAATGCCTTTCAGGATTCCACCTGGCATAATGACCCCAAAATGATTGTGTGCATGTGTGCATGTGTGTGTATAACTACACCTGTATACAAACCCAGTGTTGTTGTTTTTTTATCTTAATTTCTGGCATAGGGAAGATGACAAATGAAATTCATTACTATATTTCAACCAGCCAAGTCAATTTACAGATAAACTCTACAAACGTTTTACTCTAAACCACTTTTATTTTAACTGTGTTAGATACATTTATTTTACAGGAGCTATCTAGGCCACACAGATGGCATCTAAAGCAGGAAGACTGTGTTGCTTAGTGGAAAGGACATAGCTTTGGAATCAGAGAAATTTGACCTTACCCTGCCACTTTCTACCATTATAACTTTAGCCGTTTAACCTTAAACTGTGCTAGTGTCCAGAACATAGATTCTCAATAATCTATAGTAGTACTTATTATAAAAGGAGTAATGAACATCCATGTCCCACAGAGACTGAATTTGGTCTCTTTTACCATTTTAAATTTCCAAACATTAGTTATAGCTTATTCATAACAAAGTAGAAATCCTTCATGGAAACCAAACAATCAATCTAGTGGTTTCTAATAAAGAAACAACTAATAAGAAGCTTTATATTAGAAACTTTTGAACTCAGCTCTTTATATTATTTCTGTAGCCATATTCTGACTTATTTAAGGTTCATTCTGTTCCCAAAATTTTGATTCAAATGTGGAAACAAGGATCTGAATGAGACTTATTTGAAGACAATATAAAATTTCTGTTGAACCAGGATGCACCTGTCCATTGACTTTGAATTGAATTAACAGTCAGAAAAAGGGAATATGAATACACAGTTGATTGAATGAGATGATACAAACAAGATACATGAAGGTCCCCAGGCAAATGTTTTGTAATGCCTGAAGTTCTGTCGCTGTTAAGGGCTAAGATCAAAGATGGGGCTGAGCATATTACCTCATCCTGGCATAGCTATCATAAGTCACAAGATTATGCTGCCTCTTTACTGTAACAACCTGAGTTTGGGAGGCAGAAGAATCTAGAAGTGGAGATAAATAGTTCTGGAAAGGTTTTTAATCTGGTGCTATTGTAGCTTGGCCATGACCTGATCTTTAGGCTTGAGTTCATAGATAGATATTAATATGTTTTTTGCCATCAGTCAGTCCTTTCACTTATTGGCATCATCTTTGGTCTCTTAGGCTATCCTTCCTAAAAATTTCTAGGTAAGCCAGAAGATAATAGGTGTAATTAGGTAAGTGACTAACCCTATTTTTGGGGATGCTTTCCTTCACATTTTTTAAAACTCAGATTTATTGAGAAATATTTACATAGAATAAAATTCACCTTTTTAGTATACAGTTATGAATTATTTTTTCTGCTTTTAATTTTGTTTTTCTTTCTAAAAATGTATGGCACAACATGTTAAAGTAACAAGAAGAATTTTTTCTGATAATCTGCCCAGAATCTAACAGGACTGGGGCCATAAGAATCCAGCACTTGCCACAGCTCTATTCCCTACCTCACTGCTGGAGTGCCTGTGGCACAGCTTGTCGTGTTACTGTTGCAAGCCAAGACAGACAACTTTTCAAGGTGTGGAGGATTAAAGATACTATTCTGTGTGATGATGTACAACATGACAGAGATTTTTATAGAGAATAAGCCCATTATGAGTCAAGTGTGGGATGTCATCATTCTTAAAAAATATCATCGATTCTTAGGAAGTACTATCGTGCAGAACAAAGAAATAATAGTACTAGATACAATTAGAGGCCTTATCAAGTGTGCTGTGCTTAATCCTATGCACACTATTTTAAGTAGGGCATGTTGCTCAGATAAATCATTTTTTGGTATAGAATACCATAGAAAACAATCTTTTTTCCTCAGTTAAGTTTGATAATGAAAACAATAGCTAATATTGAATGGTTGTTATAAACCACACCATGCTAAGAACTTTACACATATTCCCTTAATTAATACTGGCAAGATTCCCATGAAGTAGGGAGCTATCATTATCTCCCTTTTATGGAGGAGGAGAAACATAGTTTTCTTGAGATTAAATAACTGCTAGTCCAGGGTCACCAGGCTGGCAAATACGTGAGTCATGATTTCAATCCATTTTACTTGTGTTCTTGATCATTGGGCTTCACTTAATCCAATATCAGGAAACCTGCCTTGGAGAAAAGCAATAGTTTTTGTGGAGCTTTACAGAGAGGACAAAAAGGCATCTAGCCTCTTCTAATAGGGGCATTACTATCATTGTAACTACCAACCTTCTATTTCTTATTAGAAAATGGAAGATCAAATACAAATATGATAAAAAATCTTAGTTATTAAAACAGTATCTGATAATAATGTATATCTAACTAATCATAATGATCTTATGCTCAGCAAAGTGATATCTATATCTGCATTTATAGCTAATATAACAACAAGGACAAAATGGCACATCTTGTATGGAAAACTTGAGATGCATCTTAGGAAGTACCTTTGGTGGAACAGCCCTGAATAAAAACCCCATAGGTTGCTTCATGTTCATAAAACTATAAAACACTTCTCCAAATGTGATCTGCTCGCCTCTTCACATCAGTATCATCTGCAACACTTTTTAAATACAAATTTTTGCTGATCTACTGAGAGTACCTGGAAGTGCCCCTTAGTCTCTTCAGGTACTTTAAGATCTGGCATGTGAGAGCAAGAATCAGTTACTCCTTATTGCTCCAGAGGTTAGAACTGAGACAAATTAGTAAATGATAATGTCAAGGAGTTTGAGCTCAAGAGAAAAGAAATCCTGTAGCAATTATAGCAAACCCTAAATTGATTTTTTAAAGAACACCTTTGAAGGTTTCTTTCTATTGTGGAACTATTTTAACAGGGTGTCAAGAATGTTGTAGGAAAATACTTGCATTGAAATGATATTTGACTAGATGATCTCTAAAATTCCTTCGAGCCAAGATTTCCATCTTTCTTTTCTGTCCAGTGTGCTAAGCCAGTGAGTAGAGAGAAGTCTGTATTTCCCTTTTTCTCCCCTTTGGCTGAGAATATGAAATGATAGCGCTGCGTATGCTTTAGCTTAGATAACAGTAAAAAGAAGAAATTCAGAGCTGCACTCACAGAGATATATTGCAAATGTTAATATGTATTGTTTTAATTCTATACATTTCTAAGACTACTTGCTTCTTACTCCCTTTTGTCCCATACATTTTCCAACCCAAATTTCTCAAACATTAATGTGTAACATATTACTCTATCACTTGAACACACTGTCTCAGTTTGCTTAGACCTCTTCAGAATAACCTTTCACCCCTGCCTTCTGGCTTTACTGTTTTTTCCCCAACATTCATTGAAGAACTATTTATTATATACCTACTCTACGCCAATACTTTGTTAGGTATTGAGAATACAATCCCTATCTTTGGAGAACTCTAAGTTTCAGGATGTTAAAGGATAGTGGACAGAGTGAAAAAAAACAAGTATAATAATATGTGTTAAGTATAACAGATATGTGCACAGGTGCTATGAACATTGAGATAATAGCACCAGATAAGCCTTAAGTTTGAGGCTGCCATCAGAGATGAAGTGATTTTTTTTTAGCTGTCTTAAAGGATGAGTAGTTTACTAGTTGAACAAGGAAAGAGGAGGGTCATTCTATTCATAAATAACAGAAGTTCTTTATTAACATTGTTATTAAAGAAGTTCCCTAATTAATCCTGTTATGGTAGAATGAGTGGCCTGAGGGGAAATAAAGACCAGGCCCTTGCCATTGTAATCTAACTAGAAGTTAATACAGGAGGCTAAAAGCAAAAGATTACCATGACCCAGTTGTCATGGTTCAATAAGGTTGCCAGGCACTCGGAACACCAAGATAGTGTAGGAGGTGGGAAAGCTCTTGAAAGTCTGTGTGTATCATCTCCAATAGCTGGGAAAAGGAGAACCTTGAGATTATGTATTCATCCCAAGGCCTGGAAGGGAGAAGTAGAGGGGGACTACAGTGCCCCCTAAAATAAGGATTGAGGTTAACAGATCTCCACCAATACCTGTGTTTGGGTAGTTACATCTCCCAGAGGAAGCTGGAACCACATTTACCCATCAATCAATATGTAACTTCTTCACCCCCACCCGCCAACTATATAAATCCTCAGAACAAAAAACTTTCCCTTTTGTCCCACCCATCTTCTAGCCACCTGGCCTCTGCTTTTGCTTTCCTATTATAACTTAGAATTAATAAACTTTACTTTCATGTTAATAGGCTCTCTGACCTGTAACTCTTTACTGCATTGGTGAAAAGAACCAAATTTCTGGGAGTTTCTCCCGTGACAATCCCACCATCTAATTATTCCCTTTCTCTCCCTGTTACACAACTGAGGATGGGTTTGTTTTCAGGTAGGAAGTAGTATATAGGAAGCCAAAAAGGTAAGTGGCAAAGTAGAGAGAGGAATCTCCACAAGTGGAGCAGATTTGAGAGCCAGTGTAAGGAGGAGTACAGGAGGTGAGTTTTCCATTTAAATAGTGGGGAGTATGGTCACTGTCCTGCTGTATGCATCTGGGCTTATTGACCAATGGGAAGGGACTGTTAGCCCTCTTTTTAAGAGCATCTTTGTAATCCATTTTTTAAATAATTAATACTATATAGATATGTTGAAGCACCCTATTTAAAAACAAAGTAGAAACAAAAGAAATTATAAAACATATCTTTAAATTATAAAGAATTACTTCATATTTTAAAAATTAAGTGAAATGTCTTGGCTGAGTAGTTCAGTTGGTTAGAGCATTGCCCTGATATGCCAAGGTTGCAGGTTCAATTCCTAGTCAGAGCACATACAAGAATCAACCAATGAATAGAACAACAAGTCGATCTCTCTCTCTAAAAACGAAAAAAGTTGTTTTAAATAGTAAGTGTCTCACTTCCTTAGTTCATCTGAATTATGGATCAATTTTTTAAATATCCCCCCTAACTGATTTTCCCTAATGCATTGCTCTATATGATAACATTCATTCCAGTTAAATATTTTTATGGGATGCCCAACTTTTATTAACATATAAATAATGAGTAATGTTTTCAGTAAATTGCCAGAGTTTTCTTGGTTTACGCAAACACTTTCTGGTAGCTTGATTTCTATAATGTAATTATTTTCAAATTTTGTATTTTCAAGATTTTATCTACTGAATTTAACATTATAGTGTTCAATAGAGAAGTCATTTCACCTGCCATAGGCATAGTAAAGTTTCCTTGACTACTTCATATCAATCTGTAATAGAATATTCTATTTAAAAAATTATTGACGAAGTTTATCCGTTTTTACCCTTATCATTATTTATGATATAACATAATACATTTATTGCAATGCTTCTTTACCTATTAGAGATCAGCTGGTTAGAGTGTCATTCTGATACACTAGTTACGGTTCAATTCCCAGTCAGGGCACAAACAAGAATCAACCAATGAATGCATAAATAAGTGGAACAACAAATCTATGTCTGTCTGTCTGTCTGTCTATCTGTCTCTCTCTCTCTCTCCCTCTGTCTAAAATCAGTAAAAAAAGAAAGAAAAAAGAAATAACTCCATACTACATATGAAAAAAAACATGCAAAGAAACACTTAAAATATTTACTGTAAGAACAATTACTTTTCTCATGTTTCTGTTTGCATATTAAATAATTACTACTCAGTGGCAATAAACTGACATTGAACAATATTTCTGCTCCATACATGCTCACTCAATATAATGTTTATCAGGATTTTAATAATTATACTGTAAGACATACTGTTTCCCCACATTCCTCTTTAATTTTATATAATTAACAACTGCCTTTTTCCTTTTTCTGTTGTTTCAGTTAAAGGATCAAGAAAGTTAAGTCTGCCAACAGATCTTAAGGCTGATCTTGGTACGGTAGGCAAAAGCCAACAATTTTAAGTTTTCGTACATTCATTTGGCTAAACATTTTTACTAACCAGTCCATGAACAACACAAGTTTTCTAGATGGCAATGTTTGATGTCTTTCCAAAAGGCTTTTTAAAAATCACCATACAGTTCTGTTGGCAGCATTCAACATTGTGTTTAATAATCATGTTACAGAATTATGTTTTATAAATCATTACACACCAAGGTATATAATTTTTTGTTTTCTTTTTATCATGAAAATGTTTTTAAACATTAAATAGTCACACATATGGGTCCTTGTTACTGTCTTCTTATAAATGGGCATCATTTTTTTTTCTGGAATTATTTTTCTTATTTTTATATTAGTAACATTTAGAAGTAATGCTACTTTTAAAAAGTCTGACATATAAAGGAATGGAGTTTTGGTCATTTTTTTAATTCTAGGGAAGTTATAGAAAATTTGATTCACTTTTAGTTTATTCTTTGTGGTGGTCACAGCCTTATTCATAATTCTAATGCTGAAGCAAATAAGCCTTCATTAAAGAGGCCTTCATGTAATTTTGTTTCAGAACTTTTACCTGCTTATTCCAACAGGGTCTTTCTTTTTCAAAATTTAATTGAATTACTTTTTCTCCAATCTCCTTTATTCTCATTCAGAGCCATAGTATTAAATCCTACTAATGTCATGGTTAAAAATAACAAAAATAAAATAATTGGTCTTTTCATTATCCTTAAGAATTTACAAAGCTGTTATACATATGCTATTAACAAATGGTAGATTTAAGATCTGAACTTTGAACATGGTACCCAAAATTTGTGGAGCAATCACATACTTCATCTCATTGTTTTAAATAACTGTTAGATAAATACTTCATTAAATTTAAAATTGAATTACATATAGACCTCCATGCAAGATGAAGGCATAGGTAGATACACTTTGCCTCCTCTCACAACCGAAAGAAGGACAACTACAAATTTAAAAACAAAAAACAACCAGAACTGCCAGAAAACTGAACTGTATGGAAGTCCAACAACCAAGGAGTTAAAGAAGAAACATTTATTCAGACTGATAAGAGGGGCAGAGACAGGCAGCCAGAGAGGAGTGGACACATGGCAAGGCGGCACTGGACAACTGGGCAGGTGAGGTGGCAGCTGGCAGTCCCACATTTGTGTATGGAGAAACCCAGAAGAACAACTTGGGAGTGAGACAGACCACACAGCCCAGGGCTCCAGCACAGGAAAAGAAAGCTTCAAAACCTCTGACTATAAATATCTGTGGGAGTTGCAGCAGTAGCAGAAACTCCCAGGCTCCCAGGAAAGTTCACTAAAGAGACCCACAGGATCCTAGAATGTACACAAGCCCACCCAGCAGGTAATTGGCACCAGGAGGGCCCAATTTGCTTGTAGGTAGTGAGGGAAGTGACTGAAAGTGGGGTAGGAGCCAAGCATGAGGCATTATTCCCTCTATGACCCCTCCTGTACATACAGCACCACAAAGCAGCAAAGTGGGTTTCCCCACCCTTGCAAACACCTAAGGCTCTGCCCCTTACAAGTTGTACCAAGACAAAGAAACATGCCCAAATGAAAGAACCTATCAAAATTCCAGAAAAACAGCTATGTGACAAAGAGATAGCCAAACTATCCAATGCAGAGATCAAAACACTGGTAATCAGGTTGCTCACAGAAATGGTTGAGTAATGTCACAAAAGAGAGAAAAAAGTGAAGGCCATGCAAAGTGAAATAATGAAAAATATACAGGGAACCAACAGTGAAGGGAAAGAAACTGGGACTCAAATCAATGATTTAGAGCAGAAGGAAGAAATAAACATTCAACCAGAACACAATGAAGAAACAATAATTCAAAAAAATGAGGAGAGGCTTAGGGAACCTCCGGGACAATTTTAAACATTCCAACATCTGAATCATAGAAGTGCCAGAGGAGAACAGGAACAACAAGAAATTGAAAACTTACTTGAAAAAATAATGAAGAAAAACTTCCCCGATCTGGTGAAGGAAATAGATTTCCAGGAAGTCCCGGAAGCTCAGAGAGTCCCAAAGAAGTTGGACCCAAGAAAGTACACACCAAGGCACATCATCATTACATTACCCAAGATTAGAGATAAAGAGAGAATCTTAAAAGCAGCAAGAGAGAAGGAAACAGTTACCTACAAAGGAGTTCCCAAAAGACTATCAGCTGATTTCTCAAAAGAAACCTTGCAGGCAAGAAGGGGCTGGAAAGAAGTGTTCAAAGTGCATGAAAGGCAAGGCCCTACATCCAAGATTACTCTACCCAGCAAAGGTATCATTTAGAATGGAAAGGCAGATAAAGGACTTCCCAGATAAGTTCAAGTTAAAGGAGTTCATCATTGCCAAGCTCTTATTATATGAAATGTTAAAGGGACTTATCTAAGAAAAAGAAGATCAAAACTATGAACACTAAAATGACAATAACTGACAACTATCAACAACAGAATCTAAAACAAAAACAAAAACAAAGCAAACAACTAGAATAGGAACAGAAGCACAGAAATGGAGATCACATGGAGAGTTATCAGCAGTGAGGGGGAGAGGGGAGAATGGAGGAAAAGGTACAGGGAATAAGTAGCATAAATGGTATGTACAAAATAGACAGGGGGAGGTTAAGAATAGTATAGGAAATGGAGAAGCCAAAGAACTTATATGTACAACCCATGGACATGAACTAAGGTGGAAGAATGTTGATTGGAGGCAGGGTGGAGGGGAATAAAGGGGAGGAAAAATGGGACAACTATAATAGCATAATCAATAAAATATACTTTAAAAATATAATTATATAAAAATTTTATATGAATTCAATTAAATTAGGTAATTATACTATTTTTACAGACCTTAGAGCAAATTTAATCCTCACAGATGTTAAATTCTTAATGTATTGTTTAGTTTTTTACAATGTAAAGCTCTGATGCAGTAAGCTAATTATCATTAGCTCAATAATATTATTAGTTCAATAAATAAATTATTAAGTAAATTAGTATTTTACTAGTGTAACTGATGTCAAAGGAAGAATCAACATTATAGTTCAATTTATTGACCTCCTACTATGTGTCAGACACTATGCTTTCTGATATGTACATATTATCTGAGATAAAGTAGGTGATCCAGTTCTCACTTTACTAATGAATAAGTTACTATGAAAAACTTAAATTTGCCACTAGTCATACAACTAGTAGCAAAACTGAATTTAAATCAAGTACATATCATTGCAAACTTTATAATCTTATAACTACCTACCATTTTGTGTAGCATGTATTGTAACAAATGTCAAATGGAGACTAATAACACTTTTCTCTAGAAAACCATGCCTTCAGATATTCACATAATTTCCACAAGCATAATATTTTGTTCTAGAATTTTGAAAAGGAAATATGGAAAAGAAAGAAAATTTCCAGTCCACTTTTATATTTTTAGAAGTAGCAAAGAAATTTTAGTTATAATTCTAATCTTGAGGTTAGTTACACATGGTCATTATTAGTAAACGTATAATAAACAATATCTACCAATGTGAGTTTCACCACGACTCCAATTATCTCCCAATTGCTTCATTCTCACTATTTTCATACATACTTTAAGCAAAGATGAATTATGAAAACTCAGGTATACATAAAAGATGAAATAGTCATATGTTCATTACTTTACTAAAGAATAGTTTGCACTTAAAAGGAGTCATAGTAAAATTTTATTAAATCTCTATTTCTAACTATGTAGTCAATATAATTTTATTTTTAAAACTGGTTTCCCACAGTTTCCAGAAAAAAAATTATAAGACTTCTGAAGGAGGATAATGTCTGTATATATGAAAATTCTTCCAGTGTAAAACCTTGGTGTAAAATATACCTTGGGTGCTTGTAACATGCTTTAGGAAGACATACAATAGTGTATAATCCATTAACAAAGAAGACAAAAAAGGAAGATGTTTAATAAGCTATTACAGTAGGCCAAATGAGGGCTTGAGCTAGGATAACAGTGAAAATGAACAGCAGAAAAGGAATTTACTGATGCAGAACTGGGAACACTAAGGGAAGAGGGCATGGGAAGAGTCAAGGATCACTACAGAATGTTAAGAATAACTCTCATGGAGAACACCTGATTTGAGAGGAAAGGACAAAAAGTCATAATTGCTATAGGGACATCCATGATAAACATTCATTGAACAGTTAAAAATGAAGGTCTGCAGTGTAGGTGGCAATCTCAAGCCCAAATTAATAAATAACATTCACCTATCTAAAGGTATTAGTGGCTGTGTATATGAGCTGTTCACTAAAAACAAATATTGATACTAATATAACTTTTTTGTTACAATAGTCCTTAACAGGAATAGTATCACAGTAAAAATAAAATAATAGTAATAACAGTCACATACAATGGTCACATGCAGTTAGAACTGTTAAGTAGTTAGCATTTTATGATATCAGAACTAGTGTAACAGTAACAATAAATTTTTAATAACAACAGTGAAAACCTTATACATTGGTCACTTATGTGGTTAGAACCCTTAAATAGCATGTTATAAAGTAATTGCCATATTCATGAGAAATTGCTTTATAAGTAACATTTTTACATTTAATGAAAAACTATCATTTCATTTTTAACAAAAAATAGACACTTCTCTTTCCTTATAAACTAGGTTTTTAATTAAAAACCTAAAAAATGAATTAATTTTATAAAATTCAAACCTTGCTGTCAGATAACATTGTGGAATTATTATTATATATGCATCATAGAATACTACAAATGAAACACATATACCCATGAGGTCTGAAAAAAATTAACTATAGGTTGATACCCAGCTAATAAAAAGATGCATGGAGAAGCCATGGTCAAAGGACAAGTAGTGAGTACTTAATTTATGTAATTGTAGAATTAATGTTAAACAGCAGAAGCAAAATGATTATAAAATAGAATGTAAACTTAAAATTCATAACAATATAGAAATAATAGTATAATTTTCAAATTGAAAGATGGAAG